CAAAGGTCCGCCTGTCTCTGCCTCCCAAGTGCTGGGACTAAAGGCGTATACCACCATGCCTGGCATTCTTTCTTTCTTTTTTATAATCAGAAAGGAGTTAACTATATATTTTCGTGATACAACTTTTTTTATTTTTGTGAGAAGGGCATTGAACTTCTGATCCTATGTACTGGGATTATAGTCATGTGCCGGATTCTATTCACATGCCTAGTTTATGGGGTGTTGCAGATGGAACGCAGGGTTTTGTGCAGGCTAAGCAAGCACTCTACCAACTGAGCCACATCCACATCCCTTCCTTTCATGTGATACATTAAATATTAAGGAAAGGCAGCTGTGATGTCTTCTCCCTCTTTACTTCTCTTTCTTTCTTATTTTTATTATTTTTATGTCTATGAGTGTTATGTCTGCATGTGTGTAAGAGCACCCGTGTTATACAGTACCCACAGAGGACAGAAGAGGGCATCAGATCCCCTAAAACTGGAGTTATGGACAATTGTTAGCCACCATGTGGGTGCTGAGATTCAAGCCCATGTCTTCTACAAGAGCAGCCAGTGCTCTAAACCAGAGCCATCTCTCCAGGCCCTTCTTTTCTTTTTTAATGCTTTGCTATATTTTATGTGTGTGTGTGTTTTGCCTGCATGGATATAAATGCACCATGTGTGAGCAGTGTCCATAGAGGCCAGAAGAGGGCGTTGGAGCCCCTGAAACTGTTGTTAGCTGTCATGTGGGTTCTGGGAACCAAACCTGGGTCCTCCATAAGAGCAGCCAGTGCTCTTAACTGCTGAGCCATCTCTCCAGTCCCTCCTCTTCCTCTTTTCACATAGTATTTCAAATTCTAAGGAGGGGCAATTGTGATACTTTCCCATTATTTAAATTAGAATGTTACCAGGGACACAGCAAGTGGAGGCCAAAGCTATTATGAAAAAGGGGGTCCATCCTCAACCATCAAGCCTGCTCCAAAGACTAGGGGTCTGCATTCAGGTAAAAAGACATGTTAGAGTATGGAAGCTTGGAGATGTGGTTACAAAGTTTCTAGAAGTGACCAGCAAGAAGGCCCAAACTGATGGTCCACAGCAAAAACTGACAAAGCCTCAAACAGTTTGGGGAAAGACAGAGATTCTCAGAACTATATGTAGAGGAAACTGAATTCTTTACAATCTTTACAATCAAAGGGGATGAGGGCTGACAAGATGGATCAGAGGGTCAAGGTGCTTGCTGCCAAATCTGATGGCCTGAATTCAATCCCTGAACGCACATAGTAGAAGGGTCAAGAATTGACCCTACAAGTTGTTGTCTGATATCCACAAGCATGTTGTGGCCCAGACATACAGACACACACAGTCTCTCTCTCTCTCTCTCTCTCTCTCTCTCTCTCTCTCTCTCTCTCACACACACACACACACACACACACAAATAAATAGTAATTTTAAAATAGTTTTAATTAAAAGGGAGTGGGAGTTGAGACAAGCATGTGAGTCTAGATGACTGAGTTTTAAAGGAACAGTATGATCTCTAAAAAGGTGATAGTTCAGCCACATCAGGATATGAAGAGATTAATCAAAGTCTCCCACCACCAATCTTGCAAGGATTTCAAAATAGAATTTGGAATTCTTGACTCAGACCCTGAGTCAAGAAAATCTTATAAACCGAGTTCACCTCTTCTGTCCCTGAAACTGGAAGCAATCTACGGTATATAACTAGACCCTAACAACTGATTGCCTTTAGCTGGATTGACGTCAGTTAATGACTGGACTTTGGACTTACAGACAGTTAAAACTCAAGGCAGTTAAAGAGGGGACCCATTTCCTCCTTGGATTACCTGGGCAGCGCAGCTAAAATGAAAGCCTTCCTGCCTCTCTCCCTTCTCGGTCTCCTTTTGGTAAACTTGGGTAAGAAACACTTTTAACTTAAAATCTTCCTATCAGGTTTGTGGTTTTTGAAACAGAAGAATCAGGCTTACGCACCTGCCAATTCGTACAGCTTTGGGTGGTCTCAATGTGGGGACCATATTATAAATAAAATTTCCTGTCTAACTTAGCCCATCTGTGATGGCGAAGACAGCAGTGGCAAAAGGGACCTATGTACTAACTTTGGGGTTCAGCAAAGCAGAGGTTTGTTTGAAGCTAGATAAGGACAACCCAATAGGTTCCAAGTACCTTCTGGTTGCAAACTGGATCTGTGCTTGTGTTCATCAAGTCAACTCCAGGAAAAAGCCTTACTTTAACCAATGCACTTGAATTTGAGGCCACTTGACCAAACAGAGCAATTGCAGTGTGGGTTAGACTTCACAAGTTTCCTGTTCTAGGTTGGGAAGGGTATTTGGGTGTGAAAGAGTGAAAAGTTGGTCTGTGTGTGTGTGAGAGGTGAGAGTTCCTAGAATCGAGATCTAGAAGCCTGGTGCAGAAAGGAAGAGGCATTTGCCACAGTGAAAAGGGAAAGACAAACCGAGTTCAGTCTAGAGGATGGGGATGAGGGACATCAAAATTTGGGTTGTTTCATTTTGGTTTCAGACAGTATCTCATGTAGCTCAGGCTAACCTTGGGCTCTATATATACAGCAAAGAATGACTTTGAACTCCTGATCTTCTTACCATTGCCTCCAGAGTGCTAAGATTATAGGCAAACAATAGCATGCAGGGCAAGACTTTTTTTTAAGACAGGCTCTCACAATGTAGACCAGGCTGGCCTTGAACTCACAAAAATTCACCTCCTTCGCCTCCTAAGTGCTGGGATTAAAGGCATGTACTACCATGCCAGCCAAGCTTTGATTTTTTTAAAAAATTACATTATTACATTTATTTGTGTGTGTGTGTGTGTGTGTGTGTGTGTGTGTGCATGTTTGTGTCAAAGGACAACTTGTAGGACTCGGTTTTCTCCTTCCACCCTGTAAGTCCCTGGAATTGAACTTGGGTCTGTCTTCAGCCTTGGTACCAAGCACCTTTACCTGCTGAGTCATTTCTCTGGCCTGAAATTTGATTGTTTTGAGAGATGGTTTCAAGCTCTTGATGGGGGTAGGTTGGAAAAACTATCCTAATAAAAGGCTGGCTTTACTAGATCTGCCCAGTCAACCCTGGGGCAGGTTCTATAGCTAAGTCTACTGGTCTCAGTAAAGGCACCACAGAGAAGGTTTGCCTTCTTTAAAACATAAGAAAAGGGAATGAGGGCTAGAGAGATGGTTCAGCAGTTAAGAGCACTGGCTGCCCTTGCAGAGGACCCAGGTTCAGTTCCCAGCACCCACATGGTGGTTAACAACCATCCATAACTCCAGTTCCAGGGCAACCGCTGATTCACTGTACCTTTACTGTTCCAAGTGCCCTGGGGGTTTGGTCTGAGAGCTGTGGTTAGAAAAAAGACTATTTATTTATCATATTCTCTAAAAGGTCAATGTATCTAGAATTATTTGTAGAGAAATGCCCTAGAAAAATCCCTGGTCCTAGAACTCAAAAAGATTGTGAGTTTGAGGCCAGCTTGAGCTACATAGCACGGCCCATCTCAGAGAACCAAGAAGGAAACAAAATTGGAAGAACTTTACTAAATATTTAGTGAAGTGTTTTTACATAATTATTCTTTAAACTTCACCATCTAAAATTCCCCTTTTCTGCCCCACAATCTATCAACAGAGAAAACTGCCCCACCATGGAAAACTGGGGCCGTTCCTTAAAAATGTAGGAAGCTGCAAAGACTCTGCTTCCTGGAGGTGGCAGTGCCACCTTGCGGTGTTTTCAATAGTCTTTACCAGAACTCTGAGAACTGGGAAATACAAATTGTCAGTTTCCCAGCAACACATAAAAATTATGTTATTCCTTGGTACACATCTCTCTCTCCTTTTTTTTTTTTTTTTTTTTGATACAGGATCTCCCCTAGCCCAGTCTAGCCTCAAACTTGACATATAGTAAAGGATGACCTTGAAGTTTTGATCCTCCATCTCCTAAGTGCTGGGATGACAGGCATGTACCACCACACTGGATTTTTTGATGCTTATCTTAGTTTTTTTGTATTTGTTTTCTTGAGACAGAGCTTCATGTAGCCCAGGCTGGCCTCCACAGGCATGCACTACCACTCCTGGCTTGGTATTATTATCAATAAATGATAATTATCACAGAACTCTGCCATCTGATACTCTTCAACTACCACTAAAGCTACATTAAATGCTTGTCATATTTTTCAATAACATTTTCTGGTTATGGCTGTTTAATTATATTTTTGTGTTTAGAAGTAGTCATGTGTTCCCACTTTAAAGTTTTATTTATTTTTTAAAAATATTTTATTATTTTTATTTTGTGAGCTCAGCATACTTATTTTATTTTATGTGTCTGCGTGTATTGCCTGCATGTAGGTAAGTGCACCGGTGTCATGCAGTGCTCACGGAGGAGGAAGAGGCTGTCGGATCCCCTGGAACTGGAGTTACGGATGTGTTAGCTGCTGTGTGGGTGCTGGGATTCAAACCTGGGTCTTCTGCAAGAACAGCCAGTGTTCTTAACCGCTGAGCCATCTCTCCAGCCTCTAAAATCTTATTTATTATTTATTATGTGTTTGAATGTTTTGCTGCATGTAGTAAGTGCATTCATGCATGCAATACCTGCAGAGCTCAGAAGGAAGTGTTGGAGCCCCAGAACTGGGGTTAAGACAATCGTTAGCCGCTCTGTGGGTGCTGAGAACAGAAGCTAAGTCCTTTGGAAGAGCAGCCAGCACGCTTAACCTCTGAGCCATCTCTCCAGCACCATGTATTTCCACTTTTAACATAATTCTATTCATTTATCCAGAAAAGAAAAAGTTGAAAGTTGGACATGGTGGCACATGCCTTTAATCCCACCGCTTGAAAGGCAGAGGCGGACGGATCTCTGTGAGTTTGTGACTAGCCCGATCTATATAGTGAGTTCCAGACCAGCTGGGGCTAGAGGGAGACCCTGCCCCCCCCCAAAAAAATAATAAGTTGAGTACTAATTAGTACGAACAATGATCGCCATTATTAACCAATGCGCCGTCTTTGATTACCAACAGTTTCTGTCGGAACTAGTGAGAGTTCAAGCACTGTAGAGGCTACAACCCAAACCTCAACCAGCAAAGCTACTTCGTCTGAGTCCTCTGTGACATCTAGTGCTGCTAGTTCTTCGTCTGAGTCCTCTGTGACAACTGGTGCTGCTGGTTCTTCGTCTGAGTCCTCTGTGACATCTAGTGCTGCTGGTTCTTCGTCTGAGTCCTCCGTGACATCTAGTGCTGCTGGTTCTTCGTCTGAGTCCTCTGTGACAACTGGTGCTGCTGGTTCTTCGTCTGAGTCCTCTGTGACATCTAGTGCTGCTGGTTCTTCGTCTGAGTCCTCCGTGACAACTGGTGCTGCTGGTTCTTCGTCTGAGTCCTCTGTGACAGCTGATGATACTACCACACCTACTTCTTCCCCTGTGCCTGAGGCCACAACACAGACCAATACTTCACCGAGTCCAGGTAGTACAACTGATTCTTCCTGGTTACTGAACCTACTTCTGTAAGCATAGCAACCAGTCCCAATTAAACATCCTCAGAAAATAGTCTCTTAGGGACGACTACTTCAGTATATACCCCAGCAGGGATTACCACAATCACCCCTTCTTCACCAGAGACCAACCCAAGCACTGGCACCACATGTAAGAGTGATCCCTGAAAGTCTCCTCACTAGGGTGCAGGGCCCTGTGGGACATGGTATGTCTGTGTGTTCTGGTGAAGAAGAGAAATGGGTACAAAGAGACTCAATGTTTCTTTAGATATGAGTAGTGGACTTAAATTCTGAGCCATAAAGTTTAGTCATGATGGAAGAGACTCTAAACAGGTACTTGGTTACATTCTGTTATAAAATGTTTCATGAATTCAGCCTTTATGAAAGCTACCACAGGAGATTTGGAAATAGCTTCAGTTTCTCTGAAAAGGCCAGGTCTGGATAAACACTGGCTCTCCAGCCACACTGGTCCTTAAGTCACCTCTACCCTGCAGTTAGTCAAGGTGGTGACTGAACAGTTTGGAAACTGAGCCATGCCTTTTCATGAGAGTTTGTCAGCTAAGAAGCCAAACAGTGGCATTCCTCAGTTAGTCCTTGTGTAACCAGGGCCAAAGCACAATTTTGAGGGTTTGGGTAAGAGATAGTAATTGGCCTAATGCTGATGTTACTTAAGTAGAAACCACTTGACTCATTTCCCCAAACTCTATATAGAATAAGCATGAGCAAACTTTATCAGTAAAAGACAAATAGTTAATATTTTAGGTTTTGTGGATGACATAGGCTCTCTATTATAACTGTTAAACTCTGTCATTTTAACACAAAAGCAACCCTATCGTTGTACAAATGAATAAACTTGGCTGTATTCCAATAAAACTTCATTTACAGAATAGAGGGTTTATTAGATACAGCTAATGAACCATAATCTACTCTAGAAGACTCCTCAAACTTCAGAGTTTGAAGAAGCTAGCTATGCCATATCATTCTCAGATGGGGAAACTGAGGCTCAGAGCAAGCGGTAACTCAAAAGAGTAAATTTGTATCTCTCTACACTTCTGACCACTTTGGGTGTTCTTTGATACACCTAAGGAATGGGTGAACTCAGCCTGGCTTTAAAATGCTGTTCCCCAATCTTTTATGTTTAGAAGGTTCGTAGCCACAGTCACTCATCAAAGTGAGCTTCCCCGGGGCACTTACGGTTCCTCGCATTCTCTGAGCACGGCTGTGCTGTGTGCAGGCTCACTGAGGGCTAGTGAATGACCCATGCTTCTCTCTTGGTTTCACTGTACTCACTTGACACTTTGTCATTAAGGTATGACAACCATGGCTACCCAAATTCCCTTCTAGCTGTAACATCCAGAGACTTAATCGGTCTTCCATCTGTCAACTTTGGAGTTTGTCCTTCCTTGCTGGAGAGGAGGTACTTCATAAGTTACTGTCTGGTGTTTCCAGAAAGGGACTTCGCTCTCTTTCTTTGTTAAGATTTTCCAGATCATCCTTGCTATGGAGGCTGAAGCTTTATTAAAAAGCCCTTTAGTTTACTTTACTTAGAATACTGGTTCTTTCAGGTGTGATGGTGCCTGAAATTCCAACACTGGGACCAGCCTGGGCTACATGAGATCCTGGGATCTCATGGGATATATATATACATGTTCATGGGCTAACAAGATTGCTCAGCTAGAAAAGCTGCTTGAGCTTGGCTCCTGGGACCCACACAGCAAAAGGAGAGTGCCAACTCCCACTAGTTGTCCTCTAATCTCCACAGGTACACTGGAGCACATGAGTACCCACAAGTGCACACACGCATGCACACACACATCAAACTACACAAGCATGCATGCACACTAAATAAATAAATTAATAAATAAATAAATGTAATAAAAATTTTAAATCCAATAAAATAAAAATAAATTAAGCCCATTATTGTGGCAAGTGAGGTTCAAGCAGGACAGAAGTCTATGCAGTTAAAACTAAATCTCCTTTCTTCCCTAAACCCCCAGGCCTTCAAAAACCCCAGAAACAAGCTCTGTGGCCAATTTCTTGTGTCTCCCTCTAGAGACAACCTATGCAAATACAAGCATGTGTATGAAAGTATGATCTACACATTGTACCTTATAAATGGTGCTTTGAAAAACCAACAGTTTCTACCTATAAGTTTATACGGCTCTCAATCCTGCTCTGAGGGTTGTGAAACCTATAAGGTACTTTGAGCCCAGAACTGTTTTTTCTGATAGAGATGAAGAAAATGACTAACCAGGGGCTGAAGATGTAGCTCAGTGGCAGAGCATTTGCCTAGCTTGTTTGAGACCTGGTGTTCAATCCCCAGTACTGAAGAAGAAAGGATGGAAGGAAAGAAGGAAGGGAGGGAGGAAGGGTGGGAGAGAGGAAGGGAGAGAAACGCTAAGGCAAAAGAAAGGAAGGCCAGACAAGGTCACGGGTGTGGAAGCCATTGCAATATTCGCTTCATCCTGAGTCCTCCCCTCAGAACCAGGGATTCAGTGTCTCCTTGTGACTCATTTTTGAAAGTTCACTGTTATCTACAGCCTTACTACCCTGAATGCACCTGATCTAAAAGCTAAGCAGGGTTGGGCCTGGTTAGTGCTTGGATGAGAGGAAGTTCACTGAGCTAAGCTGTACTCTCTCCTGGACTGTTTCCTTCAGAATACACCATCTAGTTTCTTTTGGGAGATTCTTGCTGTTCTTCCCTATAAGATGATTGCTACACCATCCTTTAATAATATACGTTATGCTGGGCATGGTGGCACAGGCCTTTAATCCCAGCACTTGGGAGTCAGAGGCAGGTGGATCTCTGTGAGTTCAAGGCCAGCCTGGACTACATAGTGAGTTCCAGGTCATCTGGGACTACAGGGAAACCCTGTCTCCAAAAAAAAAAGATAAATAAATAAAAATATACTTTATTTTTAAAGGTTTTGGGGGATGCTGGAGAGATGACTCAGTGGTTAAGAGCACTGACTCTCTTGCAGAGGACCCGGGTTCGATTCCCAGCACCCACATAGTGGCTATGAACCGTCCTTAACTCCAGTACTAGGGGACTCCAACGCCGTCTTCTGACCTCCATGGCATTGCACAACACAGGTGCACTCACATTCATGCAGGCAATACACTCATACACATAAAATAAAAATAATAAACAAAATATTGAAAAAAAAGGTTTGGGGAGCCCTGCTTAGTGGTAGAGAAGTAGGCACTGAAGTCATGGAGGTTAAAAGTTCTTGATTCCTTAGAATTAGAAAGCTGCGGCCTTCTTGCTTTTTCTCAAGCAGAGCTACACCAATCTTGCAAACACTTGAAGCACATAGTGTTTCCAGCCCTTCTAAGAGGTGTGCTGTGGAGTCACACAAATAGGGAATGGCACATGCCCACGAGGGAGGCAGGAAGTATGAATGCTAGTCTCGAGGTGTTACTCGCTGAATTTCTGTGGATTTCTAATGTCTTCCTACTCCATCTAAGGTCCTTGCAAAAATGGCTCCTGTGGAGACACGGCTTCCTGTGTTATGCTGTATGACGAACATTTCTGCCTGTGTGTAGAAGGCTATTACTATCACCCTAACAAGTGTGAGAGAGGTAAGTTACAAGGGATAACCGTGACAGAGTTCTGTATCTCACACCTAATGCAAAATGATAGCAAAAGAAGAGAGAAGACAATTAGGAGACAATGAAGGCCTGGAAAGAGCCTCCCACCTTTGTCAGACAGTCCTGGGGGAGTGGGGACAGAGCAAGGCGTAGTTGCATGCTAGGCTGAAGGTCTGGGGTGAGTGTAACTCTTCCCTCCACTGTTCAGGGAGCGTGTAACAGATACAAAACCAGAGCAAGTCGTGTCCAAGTCCCTAAAAACAATTAGATGACTGCAAAGAACTTGCTCGTGGTGTGCTGTTGCAATAGTGGGACACTGAGGCCTGGGACCCTGGTCTGAGGCTGCAGAGCCCTCCAGCTCCAGATGTGGACTTGGATGCACTTCAGCACATGCTTGGTTAGATCACCTGGTGCTATGAAGATCAAAAGTCTGCCTGACTATCTAAATATACAGTGCCTTTTCTGTTTCATGAATGAGAGATAAGTCTCGCTAGAGCAGACCAAGTGTATAGGAAGCAAATGCATTGTGTCTCCCATAGTAGTTAGGGCTATGCCCCCACAAACCCCCAAAATTCATATTTTAACCCTAATAATCTAATCTCTAGGGATCTACTCTATGTATTGATCCCCCCACAAAGTCCTTCCATTTTAAATAGTTATAAATGTTAAGTTCAAGAACAACAGAATAGGGCTGGGGCACATGCCTTAAATCCAAGCAGAGGCAGGCAGATATCTGTGAGTTCAAAGCCAGCCTAGTTTATATACAGAGTTGCAGGCCAGCCAGGGATATATATATAGTGAGACCCTGTCTAAAAAAACAAAAATAACCCCCCCACCACCACCAGAAAACCAAAATAGGGAACTGGAGAGATGGCTCAGTGATTAAGAGTGCACACTGCTCTTACAGAGGACCTGAGTTTATTTCCTAGAACCCACATTGGGTGGCTCACAACTGCCTATAACTTTAGCTCCAAAGAATCTAAAGCCCTCTTCTGGCTTCTGTGGACACGTGTAGCATTCACTCACACAAACATACACATGAATCAAAATAATAGAAAAAAACTTTTTTTTTCTTTTGGTCTTTTTGAGATAGGGTCTCCCTGTAACCCCAGCTGTCCTGGAACTCACTATGTAGACCAGGCTGGCCTTGAACTCACAGAGATCTGCTTGCCTCTGCCTCCCGAGTGCTGGGATTAAAGGCGTGTGCCACGAAAAAAAAACCTTTTTTTTAAAAAAAGAACAATGAAATGATATCAGCAAAGGGGACATGAATTCCACAGAACATTATGCTGCCTTTTTTAAAAAAAATGAAAGTTATGGGGGCTGGAGAGATGGCTCAGCAGTTAAGAGCATTGACTGCTCTTATAGAGGACCCAGGTTTGGTTCCCAGCACCCATAGGACAGCCACTTGTAGCTCCCATCTCAGGGGATCCAGTGCCCTCTTCTGGCCGCCTTGGGCATTGAATGCATGTGGTGCTCTTTAGTACATGCAGGCAAAATAAGCATACACATAAAAAAATTCATTTTTTAAAATGTTAAATGATAGTTATGAAAACTAAGAAATGATTTATAAAAGTAGTTATTTAATAATTTAAGAAGCGATAGATGTTATAAAGATAGATGGCATAAATATCAATGGGGAAGAAAGAGCTGGAAGGTGTACATCCAAAATGGATGTGGTTGTACTAGTTTAGGTAGAATTCCAAGGACCTAGACTTCTCATAATATCATCTTATAATGCTGAAGTTTAAAAATTAATTTCTACTTTAAAATGAAATTGAGATAACCCTGTTCTTAAAGTTTGCTTGGCTTTCAGGAAAGACATTCCCTGGAGAGATTGCAACAAAGGTATCTGAGACATCTGACTTGGAAGACACAAGCTCTTTGGCCTATCAGACATTATATAAGGACCTTAAGGGCTTTGTAAGTACTTTCCCACTTTCCGTAAAGTATCTCCCTTCTCACAGGAACCTGCAGTGTGTGAGACTGATCTTTGTGTGTGTACACGGGCACAGTTGTGTGCACTATTGACATCATGAAATGCACCTCTCCTGGTGGTAGCCAGCTCTGGAAGCTCTTGAGACTGCTAAGCCTCTCCGTGGTCCACCTGAGCCAGAGTGCCTGACATAACTCTCCTGTGCCTTGGGAAGTTGCTTAAGGCATGCCATGCCCCTTGTTATAAAAGCTATTAGTATGATTTTAAATGCGCAAGAAAAATAATAGTTTTTTTTTAAATAAATGACTTCAGCTGGACGTGGTGGCACACGTCTTTAATCCCAGCACTTGGGAGGCAGAGGCAGGCAGATCTTTGTGAGTTCGAGGCCAGCCTGGTCTACATAGTGAGTTCCAGGACAGCTGGGGCTACAGGGAGACCCTGTCTCAAAAAGACAAAAAATAAAAAATAAATTAAAAAATGACTTCAGAGTAGACTGGAGATATAGCTCAGTGGTATAGTACTTGTCTAGCATGAGAAAGATCTGAGGTTTAATCCATAGCATAGCAAATTCATTAATAATTAAATTAATTGGACTGGAGAGGTGACTTGGCAGTTAAGAGCACCAGCTGCTCTTCAAGAGGACCTAGGCTCAGTTCCCAGCACCCACATAGTTGTTGATAACTGTCTGTAGCTCCAGTTCCAAGGGATCTGACATCCTCTTCTTGCCTCTATAGCAATGTCATGCACATGGAACACTTAAATACATGTAGGTAAAGCACTCATACACATAAAATAAAAAACAATAATAAAAGAGATACTAGTTGCTGTTGTTTTGGTTTTAGGGTTTTTTTTAATATCTTGGAGAGGAAGGAACTACATCTGAATTTGCAACTTTTACATTTTTTTAATCCATTGTCAGAAACATTGAAATGAACAATAATTTCATTTTATTTAGATTCTTGAAAGGGATGTTGGCAGGAGGGAGTGTGAGTGTTGAAAGTCATTCTGAAACTACAGGTGTTGAACCTGGAGAACTCAAATAGCCTCTAGCCAGCGTTTCTCCAAATCAATATAGGCACCTGAGCCCAGCCAGGACTGGGTGTTCCTGGGGAGCCAGGGAGACAGTGAAGCATTCTTGAAGTTTCAAAGAGGTTTTATGCTTCTTTGGTTTAAACTGGGGTTCTGTGAGTCTTATTTGTTTTATTTTCTTTGTTTTGGGGTTTGTTTGTTTGTTTGTTTGTTTGTTTGAGACAGGCTACACTATGTAGCCCTGGCTGGCTGGAACTCTCTATGTAGACCAGGCTGGCTTCAAACTCACAGAGATCCACCTGCTTCTGCCTCCCAAGTGCTAGGATTAAAAGTGTACACCACTGTACCCAGCTAGTGTATTTAAAATTTTTATTTATCAGTGTGTATGTATGTATATGTGTGTACATGTGTGAGCATGCCATAGTGCATGTGTGAGCATGCCATGGTGCACAGGCATAGGTCAGAGGACAACTGTAGTTAATTCTTGTTCTACCTTGTTGAGGTCCCCCTTGCTTCTGCCATGCTGTGTACCCCAGGATAGGTGGCACTGGAGCTTCTGGAAGACTATCCTGTTTCTGCCTCAAAGTGCTGGAATTACAGCTGCATACCAACGCATCTGGCTTTTTACGTGGATTCCAGGGATGGAACATAGGTTGTCAGGCTTGCACAGCAAGTACTTTTACTCATTAAGCCACCTCATCAGCCCTTTTTGGTGTTTGGAGGCAGGCTCTCACCCTGCAGCTCACATTGGCCTCAAAAAAACAAACAAAAATACAAAAAAAATATGGCAGTTTGCTGGGATTACAGACATAAACCATGATGTCTGAGTTTACCAACATTTTAATCCAAACGTGATATTCTAGTACCCTTTACATCCCTGGAGTGTAGTTAGGAAAACAGAGACAATCTGCCTTCTCAGCAGACTTCATGGGCCAGTCCTAACTCAAACCATGAGAAGTCTTCAAGGGTCTGTTTTCTTTTCCAGTTCGATCCAATTGGACACTCTGTAAAATGAATTCAGGATTCTCTTTTGAGCATTGCGCCTTAGTTTAATGTTTCTAATTCTGCAAACAAGCTGGATTGTGATACAGGCCTATGATCCCAGCTACTTGGGAGGCTGAGGCAAGAAGGTCACATGTTCAAGGCTTGCCTGCACTACAGAGTGAGCTCAAAGTTAGGCTGGTCAACATATTGAGATCCTGTGTCAAAAAATTTTTAGAAATGGCTGACCTGGGGATGTGGTTCAGTGGTAGAACACTTGCCTAGCATGCATGGGGCCCTGAGCTCAATCCCTAGAATCACAAAATTAATTAATTAATTAATTAGAATAAAAGGGCTTGATAGTAGACCATTTGCCTACTCTGTATGAGGCCTCAGGGTCAGTCCTCAGGATTTCAAATATAATAATTTTTATAATTATAATAATCATTCTGCTTGTTATAGACATATGAGGACCCAAGTTCAGTTCCCCAGAACCCATGTAAAAAGCTGAATGTGGTAGCATACATCTGGGGGGGGTGAAGACAGGAGCATCACTGAGGCCTGCTAGTCAACACGTCTAGCTCAATGTCTTGTTGAGCTTCAGGCTGGACAAGTGGGGCTGGAGCGATGGCTCAGTGGTTAAGAGCACTGGCTGCTCTTGCAGAGAATGACTAAGGAAGACACCTAACATTGACCTCTGACCTCCACATGCATATGCACACTGCACACACGCATGTACACAAAAGCACATGTACATAAACACACAATAATAACAATTCAATAAACAGCCCTATTGTAAATATTCTATTATTGTGCCCATTTTATGGATAAGGCAATCAAGGATCAAGAAAGATGAGGGGTTGGGTATGGTGGCACACTATTTTAATCCCAACACTTGGGAAGCAAAAACAGACAAATCTCTGTGAGTTCAAGGCCAACCTGAGCTACATAATGAGTTCCAGGCTAGTTAGAGCTATACAGTGAGACCCTGTCTCAAAAAAAGAAAAGAAAAGATGAGTGATTGACTGAAGGTAGCTCAGGTGATTGGCACTTCAATTCAGCCCTGCTTGACCACAGAGCTGCTCCTCCCCTCTCTGCTGGCTCTATTGTGTGAGAGAACCAGTCCTGTTCATCTAGAGAGCTCCTATCATCCTGCCCAGCCTTGTAGACCCGCAGATTTTCAGATGTACCCTCAAAGGGTGATCCAGAAGAAAAGAGCAGGAAATGCTTTCTTTTATATCAGATGCCCATTTCTCAAGCTTGTTTTCAGGATTAAGGGAACTGTACAACAATGGTCAGCAGTGAGTTGAAAGAGACTTTTGAAGTCACCCAGAAAATGTGTTCCTATATGTAGTCCTTAGGCTCTAGTGGGCTATAGAAATATCAGCCGTTGTTAATATTTAAAAGTATGGTCAAACATGGTGTTGTGTCCTGGTTAGCTCCAGTTGTCAACTTGACACATGTTGGAGGAGGGACCCTCAAATGAGGAATTTCCTCTATCAGAGTGGCCTGTGGCCATGTCTGTGAGGTATGTTCTTGATTGTTGAGTGCTGTGGGTAGTTCCACCTAGGCAGGTAGCTCTGTGTTGTATAAGAAAGCAGGCTGAGCACAGACCAAAGAAGTGAGCTAGTTCAGTAAGCAGCATTTTTCCCTGATCTCTGCTCAGCTTCTGTCTCCAGGTTCCTACCCTGAGTTCCTGTCCTGGCTTCTCTCAATGGTAAACTGTGGTCAAATTATACTGGATAGCTTTAGTGTTGACTTGACACACCTGGGTTGAGGGAGCCTCAATTGGGGAAGTGCCTCCACAGGACTGGCCTGTGGCCATGTCTGTGGGGCATCTTCTTGATTGTGTGGTGATGTGGGAAAACCCAGCCCACTGTGGGTGGTGCCACCCCTGGGCAGGTGGGCCTGTGTTGCATAAAAAAGCAGGCTGAGCAGGGGGCAGGGAGCAAGTCAGTAAGCATCGATCCTCTATGGCCTGTGCTCCAGCTCCTGCCTCCAGGTTCTTGCCCTGAGTTTCTACCTTGGGCTCCCTGATGAACAGTGACCTGGGAGATGTAAGACAAATAAACCCTTTCCTCCCCAAGTTGGTAGTGGTCAGAGTGTTTTGTCACAGCAATGGAGAAACAAGCTAGAACAGGATGTATAAACCAAATAAATCCTTTTCTCCCCAAGTTAGTTTTGGTCAGAGTGTTTTATCACAGCAATCGAAAGCCAACTAAAACATGGTGCATGGCTGTAATCTAGCACTTAGAAAGATCAGGAGTTCATGGCCAGCCTTAGCTGCATAGTGAGTCTGAGTCCAGACTGGATGACATAAGACCCTGTTTCAAACGTGTGTGTGTGTGTGTGTGTGTGTGTGTGTGTGTGTGTGTGTATGTTAAAGGACAAGGATGTAACTCAGTTGGTAGAGTGTTTGCCTAGCATGTATGATATCTTGGGTTCAATCTCCGGCAATGCATAAACTAGGCATGGTGCTGCACACCTGTAATCCCAGTACTTTGGAGGTAGAGACAGAAGGATCAGAAGTTCAAGGTCATCCTTGGCTACATAGTAAGCTTGAAGCTTGCCTGGACTGCATAAGACTTGGTCAGAAAGAAAGAAAAGAAAGAAAGAGAGAGAGAGAGAGAGAGAGAAGGAAGGAAGGAAGGAAGGAAGGAAGGAAGGAAGGAAGGAAGGAAAAAAAAAAAAAGCTGGAGTGCCAGTAAGAAGGCACTTGTCACCAGTCTGATGACCTGAGTTCCATCCCCAGGACCCACATGGTTGAAGGAAAGAAAGAATTCCAACAAGCTGTTCTCTGACTTTCACATGTATGCTGTGGCACACACTAAATAAATGAGAGACTGGGCATGATGGCACACACCTTTAATCCCAGAACTCCAAAGGCAGAGGCAGGCAGATCTCTGTGAGTTCAAGGGCATAGTGAGACCCTGTCTCAAAACTAATAAACAAAGATAAAGAACTATATTTTACCACCTGGAGTATTGCCTTTAAAATCCTTTTTAACACTGTTATTAAATCTGTTCTCCTCCGCAGTTTGAACATGCATTTAACCAAGATTATAAACAGACTGTAATTCTTAAAACAAGGTGAGTTTGCTCTGGGCCAGTGGAGAACTTTGGTGGCCAAGTATCTTTGCCTCACTTTTGGTCTTCTCTTGAGCTCCCCATGATATAGGCCATCTTGTGTCAAGTACAAGTCAAGAAGAGGTGGCCATGGGCTTGGGAGGTGACTCAGTTGGTAAAGTGTTTGCCATGTAATCATGAGGACCTGGGTCTGGATCCCCAGGACCCATGTAAAGCCCCCCACTCAACAGCATGTGTTTGTCATCCCAGTGCTTGGGAGTGGAGACTGGATCCCTGGACTCATTGGTCAGTCAACCTAGCCAAATTGGTGAGTTCTAGGTTCAGTGAGAGACTCTGTCTCATATGGTAGACACTCCCCACCCTTGTAGCACTGCTACAACTGAAGGTATGTATGGAGCCTCAGTTCTCTGTTCTGCAGAATAGAGTATGTTAAAGTCAAGGATGAGGCCCACTTTAAGAGATACCAAGCAACATTTAGGTGATAAGAAATGCTTATCAGGTGACCCAGGACAAAAATAAGTACAGCACACTCAAATACGGGGTGATGGGTCACGTAGCTGACAGAGACATCATCTGTCAGATTGCTCATGCCATACGCAAGGGGATATGACAGTCTGGCACATGAACTACCAAGGTACAGTGTGAAAGCAGCAGCCTACTCTATAGGCTTCTCAATAGGTTTGGCGTGGACAAAATCTCTGAGGGCCAAGTGGAGGTGACTGGTGAGGAACATGATATGAAAAGCACTGGTGGTCAGCCAGGGAAATTAACCTGCTATTTGGAGGCTGATCTTGCCAGAACTACAACTAGAATTTAGGGTCCAGAAGGGAGCTGAGGATAGAGGTTTGCCTATAGTACCTAACAACTCCCTGGTTATGATTCTGAAAGCAAAAAGTTCAGTGCAGAAGTACATCGGAAGCACATCATGGGTCAGAATGTTGCAGGTTGTCTGAGGGAAGATAAAAATGCTTTTAAGAATGCTCTCAGGGACTGGAGAGAGGGCTCAGCAGTTAAGAGCACTAGCTGCTCTTACAGAGGACCCTGATTTGGTTCTCAGCACCTACATGGTGGCTAACAACCGGTTATCCGTAATTCCAGTTCCAGTGGATCTGATGCCCTCTTCTGGCTTCCATGGGCATTGCATGCACATGGTTCCCTTATATACATACAGGCAAAACACTCATACACAAAATTTTTTTAATGTTAAAGTTCTGTCAGTGTAGTGGTACATTCCTTTAGTCTCAGCACTCAGGAGGCAGAAGCAGGTGGATTTCTATGAGATTGAGGTCAACCTTGTCTACATAGTGAGTTCCAGGCCAGCTGAGGCTACAGGGAGACCCTGTGTCAATCTGCCTCCCTGAAAAAAAAAAAAACAAAACAGTCAGGGCAGCACGATGGCTCAGTAAGTAAAGACACTTACTGCCAAATCCAATAACTTGAATTTAATCCTCAGACTTACATGATGGAAAGAGAGAATAAACTCCAGCAAACTGTCCTCTGACCGCCACATGTGTGCTGTGGTACTTATGTGCCTACGCACCTTCACACACATATACACACACTATTACATGTTTTTTAAAAGAAGCAGTGCTCTTAGGATATAAAGAACAGCATAACTCCAGACATAATGGGGGAGGTATGTAAGAACATTCATGCCATTATATAGGAGCATCTGGTCTATGAGAAGGAGTCAAATAGAGAAGTTAAGAAGAGAGGTAACCTTCCCAAAATGTCCCTTGCCCAGAAGAAAAATTGGGTAGCTCAAAAGAAGCTTCTTCAGAATTCAGAAATGGACTGCAGAGAACAAAAGCAATGCTTTATGAAGATTTATTTCAAAAAGACAATAAACTTATTGACCAAGCAGCTACAAAAATAAATAAATAATTGAATTAAATAATAGATAAATAAATGAGGCAAGTGATTGACATCAGGTGTCAATCTCTGGCCTCTGCATGCATGCATGCATGCATGCATGCATGCACATGAGCGAGGTGGCCAGTCAGAGCACTACAGAGGAACTGTATGTATCAGTTTTGCCCCTAATGCCACACCAACCCTGGCCAGAATGGGCAGTGTGTTCTGGGGATGGAGAGATGTTGACTGCTCAGCATCTTATGCACATGGTCCAGGACATCATCTGGATCAATTTGGTAGGATCCCTTGGCTATAAATCACAAATCCCTGAATATTGCAAGTATCCTCCAACAAGATATTGTTTTCACCAAAGATTTCCTCTGAACATACGTCAAATAGAAATCACCAGGCTAGAAGTTTGATATATTATTGCCCTGGGCCTAAGACAGTAGGTTGGGACTAGAGTTCAAGTAATTTGGGTGTCAGGGAGTTTCAAATACTGTTTGTTGACCTTAGTTTGATTCATTCATTGACAGAATTATTTTGTTTTCAGCATGTCCTCTTCTCTGTCAGCAAGATCGGCAATGCGTGCTAGTGAAAAGACGGTTTATGTGTCAGTAGTAAATATTTTTGTACAAAATACAACTCTAACTGAGGAGAATGTATCTTCTACCATAAAAGAGGCAGTTAGAAGAAATGAAAACATGGAAGAATATATTAGTAAGTACTAAATAATCTTACTTAAAGTTTGCCTAAACAATTCCTTTCTGTTATATGTGGGAAGGGAACAAGAACTATGTAAGAAAATTGATTGCTGTCTCCAAATTTACATTTTCAGGATTTTGTTTTATTTTTAATTATGGGTATGTGCACATAAATGCAGGTGCCCAAGGAGGCCAGAGGTGTCTGATCCCCTTGGAGTTGGAGTTATAGGCAGTTATAAGTCACCTAACATGGGTGCTGGGAATCAATCTCAGATCTTCCACAAAAGTAGAGCTGCTGAGCCATCTCTTTAGTCCCAAGATCTTATTTTATTCTTAATTATGTGTATACATGTACATGTCTCTGTATGGTTATGTGCTTGTGAGTACAAGTGTCCATGGAAGCCAGAGATGTCAGATCTCTTAGGGCTAAAATTACAGGTGGTTGTGAACTGTCCAGTGTGAGTGCTGGGAACCAAACTCCAGTCTTCTGCAAACAAGCTGCTTATCCACTGGGCCATCTATCCAGCCCCCTCCAAATTTCCTTTCAACTAATCAGTTCTTCCTCCTTTTCCTCTCTCACTCACCTTCTCCTTCCCACTCATCTCCCAAGTCATCAGGCTGACCAGTTCTCCCTTGGAAGATGTGAATGACTAGATAAGTCATCTCTAGTCAGTGAATGATGAGAAAATGAGAGTAAGAACCTTGTTCGCCAAGTCATAGTTTTCCAAATGATTACAGTAAGTTTCACATGATACAATTTCTTCCTTTCAGCTGACACACACACCCATGGTGAAACTGTAACAACTCCAGTTTTCTATGCTACAAACCATCTCAAAGCTTAGTGGCCTAAAGTACCATTTATTTATTGCAACTTGGTAATTTGGGGGCAGAATAGAGAGAATGTTACAAAGAGATGATCAAGTCTCAAGGAAGAAATAGAATGCAGAGATAGATAGATAATTTGTCATTTTGAGACAGGGTCTCCCTGTAGTCCCTGGAACTCACTATGGCCTGGAACTCACTATGTAGACCAGGGTGGCCTCGAACTCACAGAGATCTTCCTGCCTCTGCCTCCCGAGTGCTGGGATTAAAGGTGTGCGCCACCATGCATATATTTTTTAATTTTTATTTTATGTGTGTGTTTGCCTGAGTGAACGTAAGCGTACCTGTGTCATGCAAAGCCTGCAGAGGCCAGAACAGGGCGTCGAATCCCCTGAAACTGGAGTTACAGACAGCTACTAGCCACCATATGGGTTCTGGGAATCAAACCCAGGTCCTCTGGAAGAGCAGACAGTACTCTTAACTCCTAAGCCATCTCTCCAGCCCTGAGCTTGTATATTTTTTGATAAAGTTATTGAGATGGGCTTACCTGAAGTATTCTACTGATCCAGGCTAGGTTTGACTAATCTCTGTGGGGCATGCTTAAGCATCCACAGTTAGAGGTTGGGCCAGCTGGAAACCTGACTGCTCTTGGATGGCTCAGCTGCATGGCTTGGCTCTGCCCCAGGTAGTCTCTCCTGTTCAGCAGTCTAATTGAAAGGGCTTCAAAGCATCAAGAAGGCGAAGTTCCATGCACAAGTGTTTCTCCAGGCTCTGTTTATGTCACATATCTACCTGAGCTAATGGCTGAGACAATTACTCTGAGCAAGGGCAGTGTAGAATGGTGTTAGCAAAGGACGTGGATTGAGAAGGCATGAATACTTCAATGTCATTACCACAGCCCACCACAGCAGTCACCAGAGATGCCTCTTCTCGGAAGTTACCTGGTAGGATCAGGCCCTGGGAAATACGATGCAGTTGGTATTCCAATCCAGTGGCCAAATGCAAATGCTGCTGTTGAGCCACAGTGCACGTGACCTCTCTGTACCTTTGACCCTGGTTTCCTTCCCTTCTTCGGTTCTTGTTTTCCTGCACCTCCACCCTCTGTGCTCCAGATCACTTCCTGCCTCCCTTGTCCTTCGTTTTGCAACTTCCAAGATTTATTACCTAGTCTCTTACATTTTTTACTTTTTGAGGGAGAAGATTTATTTATATTTATGTGTATGTGTATGTGTGAGTGTATAGAACATGTGTGCAGGTGCTTGCAGAGGTTGGAAGAGGGTGTTGGAGCCCATAGAGTCCATAGGTGGTTGGGAGTTGCCCCAATGTTAAGTGCTGGGAACCAAGCTTGGGTCCTCTGGAAGAGCAGCAAGTATTCTTAAATGCTGAGCCCCACATTTGCCTTTTAATGATTAGAAAGAACCTCTTTATATGCATGTGTGTGCAAGGGCACACGCATATGAGCATGAGTGTGTGTGTGTCTGTGTCATCTTCCTGCCTTTGTGGGCACTTTATACATATCAGTAAATATACTGGCGATCAAAACACTTGTATAAAATAAAAATAAATCATTAGGAAAAAAGAAGAAGAGGAAAAAAAACTGGTATGTCCTATTAGGCCCTGGAGGTATGGAGGGCTGTATTGGTGGGCCATTTAAAAGACTATCAGCAGGGAGTGGGGCATCATAGTATACACCTTTGATCCCAGCACTTGGGGAAGCAGAAGCAAGCAGGTTTCTGTGAGACTGAGGCCAGCCTGGTCTACGCAGGGAGTTTCAGGCCAGCTGGGGCTACAGGGAGATCCTGTCTTCAAAAACAAAGGGTTGGAGAGATGGCCCAGCGGTTAAGAGCACTGACTGCTCTTGCAAAGGATCTGGGTTTGATTTCCAGCACCCACATGGTAGCTAAAAACCATGTGTAACTCCAGGTTCCAGGGGATTCAACACCTTCTTCTGACCTCCATGGGCATTGCATGACACAGGTACATTTAGATGCATGTAGGCAATACACTCATACACATAAAATAAGATAAATGAATAAATAAAATATTTTTTTAAAAAAGAAAGAAAATAATGCTGGGCGTGATGGCGCACGCCTTTAATCCCAGCACTTGGGAGGCAGAGGCAGGCGGGTCTCTAAGTTAAAGGCCAGCCTGATCTCCATAGCAAATCCAGGCCAGCTGGGTCTACAGGGAGACCCTGTCTCAAAAAGACCAAAAAAAAGAGAAAGCAAACATAAATAGGTTCACATAGTTTTCCACCATTTCTTCTCTTGCTTCCGGATTTTATAGTAGGTTCTTACCATTGTGTTAGGACCTAGAATATCAGTGCTTTGGGACAAAGTCCACCACAGGGACCCATCAATAAATTGGGCTCAGAACTTAGTCCAGCTTAGCAGTTCCTGTTGTTAAGCCTCTGTGCCCTGGGCCTTGTCATACTGTATTTAACTAGATAGACAGGATTTAGAGCACACATGAGGAAACTGAGAGTCCTCCTCAGCATGGACTCCCACCACAGGGTGGTCTTTAGCTGAAAATAGCTTGTACATTCCTCAAGAAAATATTGGGAGCTCTCTCCGTTTTACATTCCAGAGTAATTGCCTTGGCTATAAGCCCTGGCACACCTGACACCATTTGGTTCCAGCTCTGAAACTGCTTTTTTAGACAACCTCTCTGAACATCTCCTTCCATTCTGAGACCAGGGATGCACTCTTAAATATATTCACCAAACACCACATGCTACCAACTAGAACTAGCTACAGAGACAAACTGCCCCAGATGGAAGCCAAACTGCCAGACTCAGCGGCGGACAGCTTTTCCTGCTCTCCAGCTGCAGTCACAAAATAGATTTTCTTTTGTGCTTAAGGGTAGATCCCCTTTCTCTAGCTTTTGAATTGGAGGGATGCTCAAGCTACAGGTAGTTAATTACAGTGTAGGCTGCTTAGTAGTCAAATCCACTTCTAGACAACATTCCCAGAAGACTGCTCTCTCACAGTATGCTCCTGCTCAGAATCTTCCAAAGGACTCTGTGGCTTAGAGAATGAAATTCAGGGGCTCGAGAGATGGTTCAGTGGTTAAGGACATTTGGTTTTCAATCATGAAGATTGAATTGGACTTTGGATCCCCAGCACCTACATTATGTAGCTAACAGACACCTGTAACTCCAGCTACAAGGGATCCAATACCCTCTTCGGATCTCTATGGGTACCCACAAACATGTGCATACACACACACACACACACACACACACACTATATATATATATATATATGTGTGTGTGTGTGTGTGTGTGTGTGTGTGTATGTATGTATGTATAATAAAACTTAAAAACAGAATGAAATTCATTGTCCTTAATTTGACATCCAGACCTCACCCTACCTACAAATGAGCAAAAGAATGAAGACTTATGGTGGCCCCATTGTAGGCCCCGTCATTTACATCAGCTCACTCCATTCTTACAGCAATCATGTGAATGAGAATTAGTAGCTCATTGTATAGGTGGACAGAATTTGGAGTCTCCCAAAATCAAATAGTGGAATAGAGAACCACATTTTGGAGGGAGAGAGTAGAGTGCTCTGGGAATTGTCATTATTGAGTTGCTGAATGTGTTATGTTATTTCTGCCTTTCACAGACAAGAGTTCGTGTGATTATTATGGTTGTGAAGCGAATGGCACAGATACTTGCCAAGATGTTTTACAATGCAAATGCAAGCCTGGGCTGAAGAGAGCAACTCCACAGTCTCTTTTTTGTTTACGTAAGTATTCCAGCTACTTCCAAATGTTCTTTACAATTCTCACTTTCCCTCCTTCCTTTTTGCAAAAGATGAACACGAGGGCTGAAGTTTCCGAATGTATTTTAGAGACTGAGTAATATAAATTTGGGCTTTGGACTAGGACTTGTTCCTGGGCTAGGAACTGGTGAGGTGGCCCATGGTCAGTTTCACAAGAACCTGCAGAGCTGGTGAGGACTTCATTTTACTTAGAAAAACTAGTGTACATAATTATATTCTGCTATACATCATGTGGGATTGGAAGAGATTGTCTCTGGGCTGGTGCGATGGCTCAGTCATCTCAAGCCTGGAGACCTGAGTTTGATCCCAGAACCCAAGTAAAGGCGGAAGGCGGGAAGTGACTCCACAAAGCTGTCCTTTGACCTCCACACATGTGCTGTGGCATGTGCCTCCCCATCACAGAGAAAGCCGGGGGTTGGGGGGAGGGGAGTTTTTAAGAAAGAGATTGTTTCTCTGGGCATGGTGGCGCATGCCTTTAATCCTAGCATTTGGGAGGCAGAAGTAGGTGGATCTCTGTGAGTTCAAGGCCAGCCTGGTCTACATAGTGAGTTCCTGGCCAGCTGGGGCTGCAGGAAGACCCTGTCTTAAAAAGACCAAGAGAGAAAGAGGGGGAGAGAGAGAGAGAGAGAGAGATTCTTTCTAAAAGTTGCCTAGTAATCACTCTGTTTTAAAGCCCTAGAGTGTTCCGAACACTGCAGTGCAGCAGTCAACAAGCAATGCTTTAAAAGAGAGAATGACGGGATACTGCAGTGCATGTGCCAGCCGGGCTACCAGAGAGATGATGCAGGGAACTGCAGAGAGTAAGAAATCACTCCATTTGAATCTTGTCATAGTGGGAGCTAGGCTAGAGCTTGCAACAAATAGCAGGTTTAATATCAGTAAATTGGCAAAGTGGCACAGGTTGATAGGGATAGAGCATCACTGTGTTGTTTTCATCATCGTCAATAGTTTTTTTAGCATTCTGGGTCTCTATCAACCACACTAGGTAGGACCTATTATACAACAGCTAGAAACTTGTTAGTGGTTCTTTATCAGGGGGAGAAGCTGACCCTGAGCGTAAATGGCATGCCTCTGTTCCCAGGGCAGCAGGCTCCCACTTATACTCTGTGCCTTTTGGGTTTAGCTTCACCTGAATTGCCAAGCCTTCTTGGAGTTCAGGGGCTGTTGTGTCCAGTCTGTAGGAAATGAGGCCACACAGGATTGGGAACTCCTCACCCTTCCAGAGCTCAGTGGAAGAGATTGTCCCAGAAGAAAGTGAGTACAGAGAGGAGGAGGAGCAGGGAAACAAAAGGCAGACAGGAGGGAAGAAGTGGGGATTGGGGTGGGGACTCCCTCATGCTCCCCACAGGGATCCTTAACATGGTTTCCTGTTGCTACTGTGTTCCAGGTGTCCATTTGGCTACCGCGGGACAGACTGCAAAGACCGTGAGTACAGACATTCTGAGTCATTAAACATCTGGAAGTTCTCAGTATGTGACTACATTCTCCTCAGTCCTGCTGCATCCACCAAAGTCTTTGGCTTTCTTCATTCACTGAGAGAGAAACTCAGCTTAGGACTTGTCTTCTGGGCCCTGTATCCCACATTCCCCTTAGGTGCTGGGGAGCAGCAGCAGCTCTACTGTTGAAAATGATGGAACTCAGATCCAGGACTAGGTTGATGCCTCTGGACCCAGTCCAGACCAGAGAAGGGCATCCTCAGTCATCATCCTGATGTCACATATTAGCTAAGTATGGAGATTCCAAAAATGATAGTTGTAGGCGAGCAGTTTAGAGAGCATTTAAATACTCAAGTCTTATCAAGTCTTGTTATTTACTAGTTTGAATGGGTTGTTGGGAAACCAGTTGCTCATCCTTTTCCATGCCTTGTCCCCACCAGACAGGGACAATGTTAACTCTTTAAAAAGTTGTATTTATTTATGTGTGTGTGTGTGTGTGTGTGTCTACATGAATGTGAGTGCACATGCGAATACAATGCCTGCGAAGGCCAGAAGAGGGCATTGGATTCCCCTGGGACTGGAGTTATGTGGATGCTAGGAACGAAACCCAGGCTCCCTGGAAGAATAGCCAATGCTCTTAACTGCTGAGCCATCTCTCCAGCCTCTAACTTTAAATTTTAAATTATTTAAAAATTACTGGGGCTAGAAAGAAGGCTCAGTAGTTAAGAACTCTGGCTACTCTTGCAGAGGACCCAGATTTGGTTCCCAGCACCCATACTGCAGCTAACAACCATCTATAGCTCCTGTTTTGGGGATCTGGTGTCCTCTTCTGGCCTTTGCAAGTACTGCATGCACAGGTACATTCACTATACATGCTACGAAACCATTCATACACATAAAATAAATGAATTTTTAAAAAATATTTTAAAATTGTCACAGGACTAAAGCTCAGTGGTCCAAGATGCGGGAAACAGGGCCATGAAGTTAGCCATGAAGTCAAGAGTAGAAGAGTCTGTTTTGCTGCAAGGATGGATCTGCTAAGCCATTTCTTCTGGGCCTTCAGTTTCCACATCTAGAAAAGAGAGGCTTAGTGCAAACAACCTTTTAGGCCCTTCCCAGACCTCATGGCCTGTGAACCCAGGTTGGAAGTGACGTTTGTGACAGTGACAGGGCAGGAAGAGAAAGAAGGCTAGGGTAGCACTGTCCAGTTGAAATGGAATGTGAGCCACACCTTTCAATGTAAATTGTAAAAGTTTTGAGCAAAAATTTAAAAGTTAACTAGGTGAACTTGATTTTACTAACATATTCCACTGAATCAATCCAAAATATTTAAACATGTGATCAGTATAAGAATATGAATGAGGGTCTAGAGAGATGGCTCAGCAGTTAAGAACACTGACTGTTCTTGCAGAAGACCCAGGTTTGAATCCCAGCACCCACATGGCAGCTAACAACTGTCTGTAACTCCAGTTCCAGGGGATCTGACAGCCTCTTCTGTCCTCTGTGGGCATTGCACGAACAGGTGCACTTACCTACATGCAGGCAATATACACATACACACAAAAAATAAAAATAATAAATAAAATATTTTTAAAAGAATATGAATGAGCCAGGCATGGTGGCACACCTCTTTAATCCCAGCAGTTTCAGCACTCAGGAGGCAGAGGTAGGTAGATCTCTGAGATCCAGGCCAGCCTGGTCTACATAACAAGTTTCAGGACAGGACAGTTGTGGCTACAGGGAGACCCTGTCTCAAAAAACAAACAAAATGAATGACAGGCTGGAGAGATGGCTCAGTGGTTAAGAGCACTTGCTGTTCTTGTAGAAAACTGGAGTTCAGTTCACCACACCCAGGTAGGGCAGCTCACAACTTCCTGTAACTCCAGCTGCAGAGGGTCACATACACAGACACATAAATTTTTTTCTAATTAATTAATTTTTTTTTTGGTCTTTTTGAGACAAGACAGGTCTCCATGTAGCTTCAGCCGACCTGGAACTTACTACATAGACCAGGCTGGTCTTGAACTCACAGAGATCTGCCTATTCTGCCTCCTGAGTCCTGGAACTAAAGGCATATGCCACCAAGCCCAGCTTAAAAATTAATCTTTTTATAAAAAAAAGAAAAGAAAGAAAGAAAAGAGAGTGCATTAATGAGTTTTCAGATGTTTTCATACTGTTTGGAGCTGGTGTTATGCTCACAGGACATTCTCCTGGCCACATTTCAAGATTGAATAACAACCAAGCTTTATGGTGAATATCTGTAATCCCAGCACTCAGGAGGCAACTTCCATGAGTCTGAGATGTGCCTGGGCTGTATAATTAGACCTTGTCTCAAAGAGGAGGGGGAAAAAGGTCTGTAATAGCACTAATCTGAGGTGGAAGAAGAGTGTGGGTGTTAACAGCCTCTAAACTCTTCCCTATCAAGACATTGCCTGCCTCCACTCTTGGTGGCATGTTTAGTCTCCACTGAAAAAGGGGAGACAGGAGGGCAGGCAATGGCAGGAGAGGTAGGTGTGGACCTCAAGAGGGAGGTGTGGACCTCAGTTGAGATTCCATCCCACACAGCAGGAAGGACATGCCGCCATCAGCCTTTCATGTTTATGGTCTTGTGGCTAGCAAGACCACTTGCAGTGACTGAATTCTGAAGATGTGGTTAGGACGTGGGATCAGGGGCCTAAGAGAGATGAGCATCTAGCCAGCTGACCCCTGCAGCACTCACAGACTAGAGTTTGATTGACCTCACAGTAAGTCATTGGGAACACACCTCCTTGTGCAGTAGAGAGCAGAGCCAGCTTGCTGGAGCCCGTTCCTATTCTTTTCTTTTCCCTTTCAGAATTTCAGCTGATCCTTACCATCGTGGGTACCATTGCTGGCGTCCTTATCGTTAGCATGCTGATCTCACTGATTGTCGTCTCGAGGTACGGGGATGGAAGTGTCCCTTCCCTGGCAGATATTCAGTTCCCTAATATACCCAGCCTCTCCTGAGTGAGAAAGGAGAAGCAAGGGGAGGCATCTCTCCCACCACACCACTGACTCTTTTTCTTACTTTTCTCCTGTATGAGTGCACATGATCATGGAAGAAAATCTGGGCAATAGAGAAATGCACAGAGGATGAGAAAGAATCACCCATAAATATGTAAAACAACTAACATTTGGCCAATATCTTCCCAAATTTTTTTGCTATCTTTTTAGATAATATCATATACTTAGATTTGTGTCCTTTGTGCTTTAACTTTTTTGTTCAGGTTTATTTTTGCTTAGCATTATAATCAGACATGACATTCAGTTTCTTGTGTTTAGAGCTCTTTGTTAGCACCACTTAACTCAAGTTGTGCAGTGCAATCTTAGTACTTGGAAAGTGGGGGCAGGAGGATTAGGAGTTCAGGGTCATTCTCAAACATAGCCAGTTTTCAGATCTGGGGACATAGCTCAGTTGGTAGAGCATGAATGACCCTGGGTTTGACCTCTAGCTCTGTGTAAACCAAGTGTGCTGGTGTTCCCCTGCAATCCCAACTCAAGAGTTAAAGGCAGGATGCTCAGAAGTTCTAGGTCATCCTTGGTTACATAAAGAGTTCCAGTCCAACCTGGGCTATATGAGACACTGTTTCAAAACAAACAGTAATTTAATGTCATTAGTGTTATCAAATATAATTTCCACAAACCACTCCCTTGCCTAGGACTCTGCTGAAGAGTCAGAGCAATCTCATCAGAAATTCCTGGGCTTTAAAGTAGATAGGTTATCTCTTTCTCTCTTTGTGGTTCTTTCTCAACTTGGTGCCTTTAGTCTCTCTCTTTTTTATCTTTAATATTTTATTATTTTATCTTATGTGTAAGAGTGTATTGCCTTCATGTATGTAAGTATGCCCATGTTCTGTAATGTCTGTGGAAGTTAGAAGAAGGCATCGGAGTGCCTGGAACTGGAATTAAAGATAGTTGTTAGCCACCATGTGGGTGCTGGGAATGGAATCTGGGTCCTCTGCAAGGGCAGCCAGTGCTCTTAACTGCTGAGTGATCTCTCCAGTCCCTAGTCTCTCTTTTTTAAAAAATATTTTTTGGTTCTATTTTTTGATACCAGGTCTGCCTATAGCCCAACTGGCCTGGAACTCACTATGTAGACCAGATTGGCCTCCATCTCACAGAGATCTCCTGCCTCTGCCTCCTGAGTACTGGGAATAAAGGTGTGCACCACCACACCTCACTTATTTTTATTTTTTAAGTTATATGTATGTGTATCTATGTGTGAGTATGTGCAAATGCCCTTGGAGGCCAGAGGCATCAGATCCCCTGGAGCTGGAGTTACAGATGGTTGGGAGCCACCCAATGTGAGTGCTGGGAACCAAACTCAGGTCCTCTACAGGCGCAGTATGTGCTCTTTAAACACTGAGCTATCTCTCCAGCCTACTTCAAGCTCTTAAGAGAGGAGAAATGGGGTTTGTTTACATATTCAGCAAATATTGGTTCCACAGCTCCTCCCACAGCAGGGAAGACAAGAGAGTGTCTCTATCATGGGCTGACCTGCCCACCTGGGTCACAGGGTGAGTGACATTTCCAGTGTGATTAAAGCACAGGTGACTGTCACCCTGGGAGTACACTATGGCATAGATGCAGCTATCCCTAGTCCCTATTCTCTGATCTGGGAGCAGGACCATGGCCTATGGACAGGAAGGAAGGCAGGCTTGTAATCAAAATGATGTAGGACAATGCCTCATGAGTGCAAGCATTTACACTTGGCTTTAACTACCTACACTAGAAGCTCTTGAAGGGCCCCAGCCAATCTTCCCATCCTGGAAGAATCCATTTCCTTTCTCCCCCTTGTATATGTGTGTGTGTGTGTGTGTGTGTGTGTGTGTGTGTGTGTGCATGTTTGCATGTGTGTGGGTATACCTGTGTGGATGGATGCATGTGCATATGGAGGCTGATGTCAGGAATCTTCCTCTGTTACTCTCCACCTTGTTCATTGAGGCAGGGTCTTTCAAACCTCAATGATATGGCTTGTCTGGCTACCCAACTTGCTCTAGGGATCCCTATCCCATCTCTACCTTTCAAGTGCTAGAATTACTGACAGGCCTGTATATTCACCTGACATTTATATGGGACCTGGGGATCCCATCTAGTCCTCACACTTGTATGGCAAGTGCTTTAACCACTGCACCATTCCCCCCAGGCTCCTATTTTCTTGTCTAAATCCTAGGAACCTTAAGTTCATTTTCCTCGCTGAGGAGCTTCTGTAGGCATTTATTCTACTGGTATTGTAAGCCATGGTTTTCCTTTCACTTCTTTTAGTTCCATAATCAATCAAAAGCACACTTAAGGGTGCTGGAGAGATGGCTCAGTGGTAAAGAGCACTGGCTGCTCTTGAAGAGGATGTGGGTTTGAATCCTAGCACCCACATGACAGCTAACAACCATCCGTAACTCCAGTTCCAGGGGAATCCAGCACCCTCTTCTAACGTCCTCAGGCACTGCAGGACATGGGTGCATTTACACCACTTACACACATGCAGGCAAAACACTCATACACATAAAATTTAAAAATAACAATGCAGGGAGTGGTGGCGCATGTTTTTGATCCCAGCACTCGAGAGGCAGAGGCAGGTGGATCTCTGTGAGTTCGAGGCCAGCCTGGTCTACATAGTGAGTTCCAGGACAGCTGGGGCTACAGGGAGACCCTGTCTCAAAAAGACAAAAACAACAACAACAACAGCAACACACATTAATGTTTAAATCAAGGAAATGTTTTTGCCGTTCTAAGCTGTAATTCTCATTACTGGTACAGATCGAAGAACAGAAGGAAGGATACCGAAGAACAGAAGTTGATTGAGAATGACTTTCAGAACCTGCAACTGCAGCAGACGGGCTTCACAGACTATGGAGCCAATAGCATGTTTCCCAAAGTCAAAACAGGGGCCCCCAGGAATGGTCTGGCACAGAACCCCTACTCAATCCAGAGAAGCATACCTCGCCCTGATTACTAGGTGAGTCCATCCTCAGGCCTTGCAGGGTGAACTGTCCAAGCAAGGGAGACACCTTCCCTCCTAGGTCTTCATTGGTTACACCAAAAGCATTATGTTTATTTATTTTTATCTTTTTGAAACAGTGTCTCCCTGTCACTCCAGCTGGCCTCAAACTTACTATGTAGACCCTTGCCTCGATCTCACAGAGATCCATCTTCCTCTGCCTCCCAAGTGCTTTGATTAAAGGTGTGCACCACCCCACCCAGTGGATTTATGTTTTTTAATCCCAAAAGGAAGCTGAAGAATTGCAGCAGCCTCCACTCAGCCCCGAACACTGACAGGACTTCAGACCCACCACTTAGTTTCTTCTAGTTCCTTTTCTGTAAGCAGAGCAGCTCAATTGGAGATGTCCTAAAGTCACTTAAATTATCCACTTCAGAGTTGGTGAGGTGGCTCAGCAAGTAAAGGAGCTTGCCTCCAAGCCTAAGGACCTGAGTTCAATCCCTGGGACCCACATGGTAGAAGGAGATAACTGATTCCCACAAGCTGTTCTCTATACATGCACATTGTGGCACATACATGCCCACCTCCCAAAATAAATGTTAATAAGTAAATAATCCATTTCTGCCAGGGCCATCATCATAGTTGGTTGGGAGGCCAAAGTAGGAAGATAGAAAGTTCAGAGAATGCCTGAGTTACAGAAAGAGTTCAAAGCCAGCCTGGGCAACTTAGCAAGATGCAATCTCAAAATAAAATAATTTGAGAGCTTGGGCATAAGAGAGGGAACAATTGAGAACAAAGTATAATGACACGCACATGTATGACGATGTCATGCTGAAAGCCAATACTTTGCATGATAACCTAAAATATTGATTAAAGTGTGGTTCAGTGATAGATTATATGCCTAGCATGTGTGCCGCCCTAGATTCAATTCATAATAGCCAAAGTAAAGAAAAATTAAATATCCACTTCTATGGCTGACTTCAGTACCTGGGCTGGCAACACCCAGGCTGTAAAAGACAGAGATCTAAGTCAGACTGGGAAGGAAGTATGGCTGCAGCATGGGTCTGTGGAAGCCTTTACAGTCAGGTGTGCAAAGGTAACTCTCTTCTCCCCGCTCCATCCAGTCATTTAGACCAGAAGGCAGCCTCTGCTCCTGAAACGCAATCTGCTTCTAAAGAGAGACGGCAAGTTGGTCAGTCATATTATATTTCCTTGGGGAGGATTTCTCAGAATAGTTGGATTTGGCCTGGTGAGATGGCTTAGGGACCTGTCACCCAGCCTGATGACCTGAGTCAATCTCTCAGACCCACATGATGGAAAGAGAGAACCGACTTCTGCAGGTTGTCCTCTGACCTCCACATATGTGCCATGGCACACATACCCACATACATACACACAAATAAATGAGAAAGAAGAAAGAAAGGAAGGAAGGGAGGGAGGGAGGGAAGGAGGGGGAGAGAGAGAGAGAAAGGAAAGAAAGAAAGAAAGAAAGAAAGAGAAAGAAAGAAAGAAAGAAAGAAAGAAAGAAAGAAAGAAAGAAAGAAAGAAAGAAAGAAAGAAAGAAAGCCGGATCATTGACTGTGTTAGATAATCACAGTTCGCCTTGCTTAGTGTAACTTCAGTGAAAAGGGGGAAGGTTGGTGAGAGATGGCTCTCGGGGGAGGAGTGACAAGGGACTGAGATGTAGAAAAGAAAGAGGAGAAAGGACTCAGCAAAGAGTAGGGAATGGAAGAGAGGCCAAAATAGAAATGATTAGAGTAGAAATGATTAAAAAAGAAGAAAATTTAGAAGTTGGGGCACTGGGGAGACAGCTTAGTTGATAAAGTGTTGCTGTTCAAGCATGAGGACCCAAGTTTGGATCCCTAGCACACAGTAGAAGTCAAACATGATATTGACCTCTACACATATATTGTATCTAAGTATACAACATATACATGAATATATATACAAAACATAAAAATGAATAAATAAAATTTTAAAGGCTTCAGATATGACTTTTAAAAAACATTGAGTGGGGGCTGGAGAGATGGCTCAGTGGTTAAGAACACTGACGGTTCTTGCAGAAGACCTGGGTTCAAATCCCAGCACCCACATGGCAGTTAACAACTGTCTGTAACTCCAGTTCCAGGGGATCCAACAGTCTCTTCTGACCCCCACGGGCATTGCACAACACAGGTGCACTTACCTACATGCAAGCAATTACATGTATAGACATAAAATAAAAATAATAAATAAAATTTAAAAACAGAAGCAAACATTGAGGGGCTGGAGAGGTGGCTCAGTGGTTAAGAACACTGGTTGTTCTTACAGAAGACCCGGGTTCAAATCCCAGCACCCACATGGCAGCTAAGAACTATCTGTAACTCCAGTCCCAGGGGATCCAACAGTTTCTTCTGTCCTCCGCAAGCATTGCATGACATGGATGAACTTTCCTACATGCAGGCAATACATGCATGCACATAAAATAAATAAATAAGTAAAAAATAAATAAAAATTTTAAAACACTGAAAATAACAAAACAAAATGAACAGAAAAGCTGGAAGTGCTGTGGGAGACTGAGGCAGGAGGACCAAAAGTTTGAAGTCATAGAGAAACCCTGTTTCAAAACAACAAAATTAGGCAAGTCTGGTATGATAACCCATGCCTTTAATTTAGTACTCAGGAGGAATGGATCTTTGAGTGAGAGGCTGTCCTGGTCTACGTACAAGTTCCAGGCCAGCCTGGGCTATATAGTGAGACCTTGTTTGTCTTTTTTGTTTGTTTGTTTGAGACAGGGTCTCCTTGTAGCCCCAGCTGTTCTGGAACTCACTATGTAGACCAGGCTGTCCTCGAACTCACAAAGATCCGCCTGCCTCTGCCTCCCAAGTGCTGGGATTAAAGGCGTGCACCACCACTAAACAAAGCAAAACAAAACAAAATGCCAGGTGTGTGGGTGTGATGGCGCACACCTTGATCCCAGCACTAGGGAGGCAAGCAGAAGCAAATAGCTCTCTGTGAGATGGTCTGAGTTCCAGACAGGCCAACTAGAACTAGGGAGACCCTGTTTAAAAAAACAAAAAAAAAAAACGGGCTGGAGAGATGGCTCAGTGGTTAAAAGCCCTGGCTGCTCTTGCAGACAGGGGTTTGGTTTCTAAAACCAACATGGCTTTCTAATGATCTTCTGTAACTCCAGTTCCAGGGGATCCAAACCCCTTTTCTGGCCTCTGCAAACATTACACATATGTGGTACACTTGCATGAAGGCTAAATACTCATACAATAAAATAAAAACAAATAAATAAAAATTAATAAATAAAGCCAGAGGGTGGTGGTGCACGCCTTTAATCCCAGCACTCTGGTGGCAGAGGCAGGAGGATCTCTGTGAGTTCAAGGCCACCCTAGTCTACATAGTGAGTTCCAGGCCATAGTGAGTTCCAGGGGCTACAGGGAGACCTTGTCTCAAAAGAGACCAAATGAATGAATGAATGAATGAATGAATGATATAAAAGGCAAAGACAGGCCAGACGTGGTGGCGCATGCCTTAGTCCCAGCACTCAGGAGGCAGAGGCAGGCAGCTCTCTGTGAGTTCAAGGCCAGCCTGGTCTACATAGCAAGTTCAGACCAGCTGCAGCTACAGGAAGACCCTGTCTCAAAAAGAAACCCCAAAACAAAGACACATGGGGGAATAGAAAGAAAGCTGGAGAAGGCAAAAAAAGGTAATTTACAAATTTCAACATTCTTCTGTTGCTGAGTATCTGTCCTAAGTCTTATCTCTGTTTATCTCTCCTCTTGTGTAGCATGTTAAGAATTCAGAACCCTCCCCAGCCCAGCCCATACAAGCTGTGATCTTGAGTGTTTAAAGAACAAGGAGAAATGGACAGGGGTGATGGTCTAGCCTCTGGTGCTCCTCTCTGTCCCATCTACTAAACCCTCTGAGGTGGACATGAATGAAGAATGCGACTTTCTGAAGATGCCTATGACATTAAATGCACCTAGACACTATGAGCCTTTGTATGAGTTGATTTTTCTCCAGTTACTACAAAGTACTAAGATGGCTGGTGTGAGGCTTTTCTTTCTTGGTGGGACAATGGTCAGCATTTCCAATCAAGAGAGAAGAGCACCTGCGTTACCCATCCCCGGACTCTGGCTCCTGATGAACAGCCAGCGGCTTATGACAGGGTCCCTCTCCAAGAATACAGGCAAAAGACAGACACAGCTCCAGGCTTCTCAGGAGGACTCTGGGAATCTAGGAGCCTTCCGATGAGAATGGAAACACTTGGACTAGCCCTGATCTCCATGGTGGGCATTCAAGTCTTTCAGACGCTAATTAGCAGAAGAGGCAGGGGAAAACATGAGTAGAAGTAGCCAGGAGAGAGCCGAGGAAGTTGTGCTGGGAAGGTGAATGAGGGAGGAGACAGCAGGTGGCACCTTTACCATGGTTTCCCTCATGGGGCAAATGGGCACCTCTCAGGTTTTGTCCTCCCCAAGACACAGAGCCCAGAAAGCCATAAAAGTAGGAGTCAGTGTGAGGTCCCTGTGATGTCGTGAGCGTTCTATCCAGAGCTGTGCACAGGAGTCCGGGTGTCTACCCTTTTTTCTTTTCTTTTTTTTTTTTTTTTGGTCTTTTTTGAGACAGGGTCTCTCTGTAGCTCCAGCTGGCCTGGATTCGCTATGGAGACCAGGCTGGCCTCAAACTCACAGAGATCCCCCTGCCTCTGCCTCCTGAGTGCTGGAATCAAAGGCGTGCGCCACCACGCCCAGCTGGGTGTCTACCCTTTGATTCAGGTTTCATGGGTGCTTCACCAGGCATCTACCTGCTCTGAGACAGCGGCTTAGCAGTGCCCACCGACACACACACACACACACACACACACACACACACACACAAATGGGGTAAATACATCCAGCAGATTTTTTAAATGTTAATAATGTCCTTGTGTATGTCTAATATCTGGTTCTCTTACAAAGTATTTTTATTTGTTATCATTATTAATATTATTTGTTCTTGACTCTTCATTGTGGAAGGCAATGCAATAAACTGTCTTTGGTAGATGGCATCCTTTTTTGTGTTTGGAGTTTTCAGTGATGAACACAGCAGAAAATTTCATTTTGTTTAACATGTATCCCAGGCTGGCCTCAAACTTGCTATGTAGCAGAAGATGACCTTGAACTACTGATCCTCCTGCATCCACCTCCCCAGTGCTTGAATTTCAGGCATGTACCAACCATGTGTTTATGTGGTATTGGGGATCAAACCCAGGGCTTCATGGATGCTAGGTAAACACTCTACCAAGTGAGCTACATCTCCAGCCCCAGTCTCATTTTTAAGATTTTTTTTTTTTTGGTCTTTTTGAGATTGGGTCCCTCTGTATTAAAGGTGTGTGCCACCATACCCAGCGAGATTCATTTTTAGTTATGTATGTCTGTGCATAGGTATGTGCATGTTAGTGCGGGTGGCCATCATGGCCAGTAGTGTCCTTGGCTCCTCTGGAGCTGGAGTTGCAAGTGGTTGTGAGCAGCCTGTCATGGGTGCTGGCAAATAAATTCAGATCTTCTGCAAAAGCAGTACTCACTCTTAACCACGGAGCCATCTCTCTATACCCCCTACCCCAAGTCTTCATTTTAAATAGCAAACATGACACATGGCACCCTGGGATGGCTGACATCTGCTGCCCTCATTAGGAAGTTTTGGATCACCTAAGATATTTTAACATGACATAGACCCTGTGGGCTGCTATCCCTACACCCATCCACTCCTGCCCTATGACGAGGAGTCAAGCCATGTAGGTGGGACTGATACCACTCTCAGTTCCAGCCCAGGCCAATCAGTGGAATCCCATTCATCTACTACTGGGAGTGAGTTATAAGTGTAATACACATTATATTGGTAAGTTGTCATGTGCTATCTAAGCTTCTTAAAAGTGGATTCTGAGGACAAAGAGTCTTTCTTTTGTCCCAGACTCAGAAAATTTATTTCAAGTATCTTCCAAAACTCCCTATCCTGAGGCTGGTGAGATAACTCAATGGATAAAGTGCTTGCTGCCAAACCTGACAATCTGAGATCAATCCCTGGGACCCACATAGTGAAAGGAGACAACTGAATCCTACAAGTTGCCCTCTGACCTCCACACACATGCACCATGGCTCATGCTCCTCCAAAAAATAAATTAAAATTTAATTTAAAAAACATGAACAGAAGCTGGAAAGATGGCTCGGCAGTTAAGAACACTGGTTGTTCTTGCAGAAGACCCAGTTTCAAATCCCAGCACCCACATGGCAGCTAACAACTGTCCATAACTCCAGTCCCAGGGGATCTGACAGCCTCTTCTGGCCTTCTCAGGCATTGTACAACACAGGTGCACTTATCTACATGCAGGTAATATATGCATACACATAAAATAAAAACAATAAATGAAATTTTTTTTAAGTTTTAAAAAAAACATGAACAATGGGCTGGAGAGATGGCTCAGCAGTTAAGAGCACTTGTTGTTCTTGTAGAAGACCTGGGTTCGAATCCCAGCACCCACATGGTGGCTAACAACTGTAACTCCAGGTCCATGGGATCCAACTCTCTCTTCTGTCCTCCGAGGGCACTGCATAACATGGGTGCACTTAAACACATTCAGGCAATAGACTTGTACACATAAAAAATAGTCGGGTGTGGTGGTGTGTGCCTTTAATCCCAGCACTTGGGAGGCAGAGGCAGGCAGATCTCTGTGAGTTGAAGGCCAACCTGGTCATAAACAAAACCAAAACCCTCCCTGTCCTGGGGTCACGCTGGTCATCCCCTAACTTTGACATGGAGAAAGGAAAACAGCAAACAACTAAGAGTATTAAAAACATTGTGTCCTTGGGGGCTGGAGAGACGGCTCAGCAGTTAAAAGCACTGGCTGCTCTTGAAGAGGGCCTAGGTTTGGTTCCCAGCACCCACATAGCGGCTAACAACCATTCATAACTCCAGTTCTAGGGGATCCGATGCCCTCTTCTAGCCTCCACACAAATGGTGCACATACCTGTATGCAGGCACTCACACATATGCATAAAATAAAAATAAATATATTTTTAAAAGAGTATGACAGAGGATTTCTCCGGCTCCATCTTGAAGAACATGTTCACAATTCATATAGAAATGAAGGAATGCCAAAACTTGTCTGAGGCAGTTCCTTGCAAATCTTTGCTGCTGCCTTCTCACCTGAGTTCCACTTTAAAACACATAACTTTTTTTTTTGAGACAGGGTATCCCTGTATTCCAGCTGGCCTGGAACTCTCTATATAGACCAGGCTGGCCTAAAAAAAAATACATAACATTTCCTTTTTCTTCTTTTTGATTGTTCCTCAGACACAGGCTGACAGCCTAAGCATGCTTTTGCTAACATTCTGGGCTTTCTCACTCTTTCTCTGAAGGCCTCCTCCGCCCATTCTATAGCTGCTTGCCAACCCCCATGCTTGACGGGCATCATTTCTCGGGCCTTTTTCATCTCCTTCCTTGTATACCTACTGGGGTAGATATACTGGGCCAGTAGGTACTGCCCTGTTGTTTTTCTCTTGAACTCTAACAAAATGGTCCTCATGTTAAAAAAACAAGCAAACAAATAGCAACAAAAACCCCCAAACTTGACAGATTGGATACTTTATATATAGTGTATGGCAATGATACCTCAATAAGGCTGTGCATTTTTAAAGTGGGGGTGGACTCTCATGGAGGAGTTCCCCAATCTCGGGGGAGAGATCCTCTTGACACAACCTGAAGTCAAGACTAGGAGAGGACAGGCACTGGCCACTCTGCGAAGCTGTGTTAGCATGGAAGTTTTCTGAAGTCAGCTTTGGGTGACGCCAGCCCAGGATGGCTGTGACCGTGGCAGCTGCGGTCTTGAAGCAATCCCCTGAGGAGATATTTTAGTCACTAATCCCTGGGTCCCATCCTCCATAGCTTCATGGAGCAGACTGAGTTTAGGGACTGCCCAAGCTCATGTACGACTCTAACGTGCAGCAGACAGGATAGAGAACTACTGCTTTTGGTCAATGGTTTGGCTCCTCGCGGTCAAGTCCAAGCTCACATAATTTCCCATGTCTTCCTCTGAAAATTTAGACATCAAAGGGTCTGTTATGAATAAGAAGCTTTGGTAGCCGCCAAGCCTCATTATGGCGAAGGTCACTGGGCACCCTGGTGGTATCAACATTTAATACTTAAATCTCATCTCCATGGGCCTCTCTATGGCCAGTAGATGGCGCTGTCTCCTATAATTTGCGGAAAACATTTGGGGCCATTTTTTCAAAAACTTTTATTTGTAACTGTTAACACTTTTCCCCCTGTGGTTTTTGTTTCGTTTTTGTTTTTAATTTTTTAAAATTATTTTTATTTTATGTGTATATGTGTATTGGCTGTATGTATGTGAGTGCACCGGTGTCATGCAATGCCCCGGAGATCAGAAGAGGACGTCGGATTCCCCTGGAACTGGAGTTAAGGGCGGTTTGTAGCCGCCATGTAGGTGCTGGGAATCGAACCCAGGTCCTCTGCAAGAGCAGTCAGCACTCTTAACCGCTGAGACATCTCTCCAGCCCCTTGTGTTTTTGTTTTTTTAGTTTTTTGTTTGTTTGTTTGTTTGTTTGTTTTGATTCAAGGTCCCCCTGTAGTCCTAGCTGACCTAGAACTCTCTATATAGACCAGATTGGCCTCGATCTAGAACCTGGCCTTGTTTTTGTTTTGAGACAGGATCTCATGTATCCCAAGCTGGCCCAGAACTTGCTATGTCTCTGAGGATGACCTTAATTGCTGATCCACTTAGCCCACCTACCTTCCACCTCCTAAATGCTGGGATTACCACTACATCCGAGTGTAATCATCAACCTTTATCTTTTAACTTTATTATTGTGTGTGTGTTCGAGCACATTGCATATATGGAAATCAGAGTCAGTTCTCTCCTACCTTTACCTGAGTTCCAAGGATGGAATCAGGTGCCCAGGCTTGCCCAGGAAGCATCTTTACTTGCTGAGCCATCTCATCAGCAATATTTGCATCATTTTTATCAGATCACTAGAGATTATTTGTTGTCTCTTACTGGCATTCTAATATATAACTGTGTGTGTGGTTCTGGAGTTTGAACCCGTGGATCACTCATGCTAACCAAGCACTAGCTCCACCACAGAGCCACATCCCCCAGTATTAAGCAATGCTACCATCACATCAGTGGCACATAAAAACTTGGTGCAACTGCTTAAATAATGAACATTTTATTTAGTGGTAATTTTACAAAATAAAAAGGGAGATAAAGCTGTTTACGCTGAAAACTTCTTCAGTTAAGATGAAAAAAGGCCACCAGTGAGAGGTCTCTGTCTTTCATCAGCTTTTATGAGGTAAGCAAGGTCTGTCTGGGATTTCCCCAGTGTTCTCTGAGAATTATGATTTGGTCTCAATTGACAACCCACAGTGCAGAAAGCAAGGCTAGAATGGAGGCTGGTTGTGGGAGCCTGGAGCATGTATGAGGTCTCCTGCACATGGGAGCTGGCAAAGTCTCTTCCGTTTACAGCAAATGCCTGGGGCAAACAATCACCTTTCTGAA